GGGATAAATTTAATTTATATATATAAATTAAATTTATCCCTATCCTATCCTATCCTTATTTAGTATCTTCTGATTTTGTATATTAAACAAAAATCACAGTTAAAGAACTCCGACGCGCTTAGGTACGGGAAATGCTTCAAAGCAGTGACGAACTAACCAAGTTTTGTAACGGCCGGACGACCGGCGCGCCGGTCGTCCGTTCGGCGCAGCGTTTTGCGCCGACAACCCTAGCCTAGGTAAAGCACTGCGACTCCGGGCAGGAGCAGAAGGAGGAACCTAGTGGTTATTAGCCAGTAAGAATATGACACTCCCTCTTCCACCCACGGCAAGAAAATCCATATTGTGTATTCTTCCAAGGTTACGAGCATGGGGCTGGATAGATCCTAAAATCACTAATCCTCAAGTCTCCCACCAGTCTTTTTTTGTGTGGGGTAAATCATCAAATGACTTCTCCCGCCTAGGGTCTAGTGGGAGGGAGTGTCAGATTCTTACTGACTAAAATCCCCCTTTCCTTCTCCTGCTCTAGCCCGAGACGGCGGTGCCTTATTGCGCTTACCCCGCAACCTTTGCTGAACATCAGCTCTATAGGGCCTCGTCTATCGTTGTCTATTGGGTCTTTGAGATGCGCGCGGAACGCTACGCGCCGGGTCTGGTTCTGGTCCGGCGGCGAGATACATTGCTCGCCCTCCAACTGGAGACCATCTTTCGATTCTCGACCCAGAATGTTGCCAACTGCGGCGGTTTAGGCGTGATGATAGCTCCTTCAAGCACTCCGCCTTCTCCTTTGCGAGCGTACCTGATTCACGGAAAGAGGAGACGACTTCCCAGTTCCTCTCGATCCGCACTGTGGCCTCGATTAAGGATGGGCGGGAGAGGTCGCCGCCGTCGATCATTTCCCAAGCCCAAGCAGGACATACTGCCACTGTATGTTCCACCGTGTCATCTCGGTGGATGTCTTCGTAATGATGACACTTGGGCGTTTCCTCCCACAGGATCCGAAACTGGAACCTACCGGAGCTACAATGCTAGGTAAGCATTGCATCAGGCGGAAGGTGAGGACGTCATGGCCCCTCTCAAGCCACTCCTCAAAGAACGGTCTTACCGCTGCTATGACAGCGTGCTCGAAGTCTCTCACTCCCTACATGCATGCCTATTGCCTATTGTGGTTGTATATACGCGGCGCCGGCTCTGATTGCTTAACATATCTTATCCCACCCTTGTCCTTAAAATCGTAAAATCAAATTTAATTGATATAAATAGCGGCCCGACATCGAACGGATATTACTATCTGACATACCTTGTCCTTTAGTAATTTTATTTTAAATTATATGAATAGAATGCGAGAACAGCTGAGCGAAATAATACCAAATCACCAGTTCGGATTTAGAGAGGGCCACGGGCCCACGGGAAAATTTACCTACCTCGGGAGCGTCTTGTCAGAGACTGGAGGTACTGAAGAGGACATCACTTCAAGGATCGCAAAAGCCCGAGCTACTTTCGCGCAGCTAAGACCTGTGTGGCAGTCACGGAAACTGACCCGAAGGATTAAACTGAAAGTCTTCGGGTCCAATGTAAAATCCGTACTGCTCTATGGGTGCGAAACGTGGAAGGTAACTAAAGACATCTCACGTCAACTTCAAGTCTTCGTTAACCGATGCCTGCGTCGCATTCTCGGAATTTACTGGCCCGAGACAATCTCCAACATAGAGCTTTTGGAGAAATGCCACGTAAGCCCAATCGACCGACAGATCAAGCGCCGTAAGTGGGGATGGATAGGGCACATGCTCCGAAGGGGTCCTGGCCACATACCCAAGCAAGCCTTGGATTGGAATCCCCAAGGGAAAAGAAAGCGTGGCCGTCCACGGCAAACCTGGCGACGCACCGTACTAGCAGAAGCGACGAGCATCGGTATGACGTGGAGTGAGGTAAAGCGTGAAGCTTGACATATCGCGATGGAGAACTTCAGTGGACGCCCTTTGCCCCATCTAGGGGACACAGTGGTGGAAAACAAATAATACTGCTGTGCAATTTTCCTAGACATTAGTCAAGCATTTGACAAAGTATGGCATAGAGGGCTGCTCTATAAAATCAAAAACATGCCACACTCCTTCTTTCCAATTCTAAAATCCTACCTAGAGAACAGATGCTACGAAGCGAGAAAAATATCCGACACGTCACAAATGTACGAGATCAAGTCCGGTGTTCCACAGGGTAGTATATTGGGACCAGTATTGTATCTGATTTTAAAAGCAGATCTACCCACCGTCAGTTTCACCATTACAGCGAGGTCGCTGATTGAAGCTTGTCAGATGCAGTATCATGATTAGGTAATCATGATACTGCATCTGACAAGTTTCAATCACACCTCACTCTTACCAAAACATGGTTCGATCAGTGGCGCATTAAAGTCAACATAGATAGGTAAGTCTGTCCAGGTCATGTTCGCACTCAGAAGGAAAATCTGCCCACCTGTGAAACTTTACAATAAACGTCCCTCAACAAGAAGATTCTAAATACCTGGGCATGCATCTAGATCGCCATCTTACCTGGCGCAAACATATCTGGACTAAAAGGAAACAACTTGACTGCAAACTCCGCAACATGTGCTGGCTCCTCAGAATACAGAACAAACCAGAAGGCGTCATCGCGCTTCAAACTAAAGCAACTAAAACCATTCTCAACTAGAATAGTATGAAATTTCTACGATTAGTCAATTTTGGCACGTGGCATGTCGTGACGTATTTACGAGTATCAATTTTAATTTCATTATGCCGTCTTGTGTTATTACTACGAGTAAAAATGCGACTGGAATTACGAAAAAAGTGGATAAGATTACATTTCATCTGCAAGCATCGACTGCAATAGTATATTTAATTAATTATTGAATTTTTTTATCGATTTATTTTTCTATGGAAATGATGCGGCCATTTTGTGAGTGTTGTCATTTTTGGTGAAAATTTTACCCACTTATTTATTTGTTGTGGGTTATATTTTGTCCATTATGGAGCCTATGTCATATTAGTTTCCCTGACAAAAAAATAAATACAAATGATACAAAGGGCACGGTTAGATTAATTTTGGAAACCATCTTGCCAGAGCATAGTTTGCTTAATTCACTTTGAAGAGATATATTTATGACAAAGGTGGTTTGAAAACAGCATATCCTACTAAGATATATCTATACTAATTATAATGCTGAAGAGTTTGTTTGTTTGTTTGCTAGAATGCGCTAATCTCAGGAACTAAGTAAAGTAAGTAGACTTCTAATCTTTAGTTCCGAGTCTAAAGACAATAGGTAGGTACATATAAAAAACTAAACCAACAAAAGGGAATACAATAAAACCTTTGTACTTATTGAAGCTTTATTTTATTTGTTGTGTATAGTAGGTGTAACTAAAATTAACAAATCCAGAAATCGTCAACTTTTATGATACCTCTATGAAATGTGTGAACAACTAGTCTGTTGCATTTATCGTAAGTTTACCTATTTTGTTGGGTTTACTCGTATCTTACCCTCCTGTTGTAAAATTACCCCAAACCAAGGGAATTGTTCCACTGTCGGCAACACTAGGCGGGTGGGAAGTGCGGCTGGCGGGGGTATTGACGTATTGTTTTTGGACACATTTAACGACATGTAATTATGAGTGAACGCGGCTTCTGGTTTGTTCTGTATTCTGAGGCTGGCTCATCGGACGTAAATCTCAGTTGACAGACGCCAGCAAAATGACCATCTATAAAGCCATGTAGCTTGCAATAGCAACATTGAAATACTAGAACGATTTCAGAGCAACACTATGCGAGCTATGTATAACATCCCACAACAAATATGTAATAAATATGTGAATCTAGATTTCAACCTGCGAACAGTTAAACAAGAAATTGAATCACACAGTAGGAATTATCAAGCAAAATTGGACCAACATATAAACCTATTGGCTGCTGACTTACGGAGAGAGGGCAGTAAAAATAATACTCGGCCTTAAGAGAAATAGTATACCGGATCTTGAGCTACGATTCGCACACAAATGATGAGAGTAGCATCACTGGATGTACAACTCGGTTAAAGACAATTTGACAAGGGAAACCTGACAAAATATTAGATTATTGTTTAGATAACAGATTGCTAAGTTGCAGGATACAAAAAAAAGTAATTTTAATTATTAAAAGAACCGCAACAAAATCCCTTGCGTAGTTTTAAATATATAAGCGTACATAGGGATTTAGGATAGGGACAGAGAAAGCAACTTTTTTATCGCCCATGGACGCAACAACGGAGGAGTTACGAGTATGTTGCCAACATTTTGGTTATAGGGGAAGGGAAGGGTTGGGCGTCCGGTAACCTCACTCAAACGGCGAAACACAACGCTATGGTTGTTTCACGCCGGTTTTCTACGTGGCCGTGGTATCACTCCGGTTGCGCCGACCCATTTGTGCCAAAGCAAGGCCCTCGCACACTTATTTTATGCAGGTAGCTTAAAATTCTAGACATCTCAGAATGCAATGGGTTCTTTCAAAATGAAATAAAATACAGATGTAATTCATAATATCTATTGTTTTTTTTAAGTGGTGTTACATTTGCCTAATTGGCAGAATTACAGCTGAATGTTCCTTTGGAATGAAAACTATTAATTAAATGCAGACTTTTTAGTTCTATATAAAAATAGGTACCAATGATGACTACTAAAACAACTTTTTACCGAGTAGTTACATCAACTAGTTTACATTAGCTACATACAATGATATTAATAAAATAACTACATGAAAAATTCTATTCACATGGCATTTTATGCTGATTTTACATTTGGTTCAGCTTCTATGTTGTTTGGCCAAATTTTATAAATTGTATTATAAACAACAAAAAATATTATTCAATCATATCTTGACAATGCAATGACATATAACACATGACAAATAATTAATTTATCTAATCCCAAGTGAAAGCTGATGTTCTTGCACATATTGTCTTACTTTTGTGTCTCAAATTACCACAACCAAAAGGTTAAATCATAATCATTGATATTTTTGGCCTAACAAAACAATTTTATGGTTAAACCCATGCCATACATTACAATCATATGTTCTGTGAAAATTATTAATTAGTTATATAAAAAATCTACTTAAACAAATTATTATCACTACTTTTAAATAAGTAATGATTTCATTAACAAAGTAGTCAGGTGAGAGTAATTTTATGGGTAAGACCAATATAGCTTTTCTAAACTGACTGCTTTATTAAAAACTGTTCATGTTATATTTAAACAAAGTAAATCTTAAATTGATTTACCCAATAATCCAACATTGATATTTGTGTTGGAACACAAATTTAAGTGATCAACTGTGTGTAATCCAATATTTAAAGTAAATTACTATTTATAACAATAGTGTCATAAATCATAAAAATAATAAAAAAAATATTCAGTTTCTAAAACACTGACAATTAACACTGATTTTCACTTTAACTCCACATTTTCAATTTCACTTAAACTTCATCTAATGTAGGTAACCAAAATGCCATATTGGTGCAGGCGGAAGCAAGCATCATAAACTTAGGGTTAAATTGTACACATTGTATTGGAGCAGGATGATCACCATTCAAAACACACACTTTATATCCTGTGTCAGCATTCCAAACATGAACTCTTCCATCAGTTGAGCCACTGAAGATATACTGTGAGTCTGGACTAAATGATGCTTCTATAGGTATTCCTTTATTATTAAGGTGACCTGTAAAGGTCTGTAAAGGTGTGCCATGATAAGCATCAACAAGGCGAATAATAGATCCATTTGTACTAACCAATATAGTTTTACCATCTCGTGAAAATTTTAATCCAGTCCAATCACATTCTTTTTCTTGATTCAACTTGAATGTAACAAAAGGGCCTTTATCAAATGATCTCAAATCATATAGCTTAATACTTTCTGAATTAACTCCTGCAGCAAATATGAGGCCTTCAGGGTCATAAGCTGCTACAGGTCTTCCTGACAAATGCATTAAACCTTGGCAATTAGGAGACCGAAGATCCCACAAGCGCAAAGTTTTGTCTAATGATCCAGATAGAAATACATCTTCAACTGGTGACAAACAAAGAGTGACAACTTTTTTGGTGTGGCCAGGAAAGTATCTTATATACTTGTTGTCGTGAAGTGACAAATACCTTATAGTATCATCAACCTTAGTTGAGCTGTGTATGGCAGTATTCTTGGCATGTGTGAAATGTATTAAATCTACACCATATTTTTTGCTGTTTACAGTAATCAACTGTGTGCCTTTTTCACAATCGTATATGACAATTTGATCATCTTCACTGCAGGATATTAATGTTTCACCAGTAGGAGAAAAGTCTATACTGTTTATTTTGTCTGTGTTTTCTCGAAACACTTTAGCCACTTTAAAACTTCGAACAACCGGGTCGATTAGTTTCATCATTTGTAACAGATAATAAAAATACGGTTACGGTACTTTATAGGACAATACAACTAAACTTTCAATAAACGATCATACAAAACAAATTATTTTGCTAAAAAACAGACAGGAATGCTTTCAGGAGCCGCCGCCTCAAAATGTTGCAGTGAAATTGATTGAATTGAATGCAACTCCGCTCACTCGATTGAATGACATACTGAACCACAGGCTATAATCAAAAAGAGTACCTAGCATAGATAAGAATTAAAAAGTTTAAAGGTGGAATTATATTATTGTGTCGTGGCGTGTAACGTAGTCTAGAAGCCGGTTCATACTATAATGTGGTTAGCGCATGGTTAGAGACACACATACATGGTGTGTCGCGTGCTAATGTATGCCATTTAGGTAAAGTAGAGCGTTCTAGCGAAACTGCGACAATATACGCGTTACAACTTGTAAGGCCCAAACTTTTTATTTAATTATAAAAAAAACCTTTACCTTATGCTTATTCATTAAAAACTTGAAATTAATTTATATATAGAAAAAATAAATTCATTTTTGGAGGTTTTCCTCTAATTATGACCCAAAATATTTTACTATGTCGTGTTACACCAGAAGGCTATCTGTTTCAAATGTTGCTGTGGACGTCGAATGTATGAAAACGGGGCGGAACACGAAACGCAAGGCTACAGTAGTGACAAACAGGCTTTCTTTCATTCAAGAAGCATAATCATTAAATAGCAAATTAAGCATAATCAACGCTTTGGTTGTTTCACATCAGTTTTCTGAGGCCGTTGTTGTATCACTTTGGTCGAATTGACCCATTCGTGCCTAAGCATGGCTCTCCCACAATTTATAAAAAATAATATAATGGGTATGTAACACCTGGAACAAATAAACTAACTGGATCGGGATTTGTGAGAATATTTTAAGCTGTATTTTGAATTATTCAGAAAGTATAAATCAGTGCGTCTCTATAATAAAAAAATGTGGAGTTTCATAAAAAAAGATACCTCTGTTTAGTGGTGTATGTATGATTCCGCCTTTTCGAACTGATGATGATGAACAACGGGGTTCTCTTGTATTAATAAAATACGCTTATGTACCATTTACCAATAGATTTTTTTCTGTAGCAACATTTATTGAAAGCGCACATGTAAAAAAACTCATTTGGGAAACAAAATGGACGGTGTCTAAATGGCGTTTGTCGTATTTGTTAGTGATGTGAGTTATTATGCTTAGTTGGCCACTTAATAACTATAGTACTGAGGAAATACGGTAATTGTAAATTTTACCGTTATATCATACTTTAAACCGTGATCTTTCATTGAAAATTTTATGGACCTATATTTTTGGAGTATGGTATCCATTTTGTGAACAACTTGTTGTGTGGCGTTTAAAGTAAGTATTGTCTTCATTAATTCCGATATTATAATTCTAAGTAATTCATTTTGTTAAAGATTAAATTAAATCGGTTGGTTTAATGATGATACATTCTGTGTAGGCAACGGGAAACTCACAATACATTACATGTATTGTAGCTACATAACAATCTAGCGTACCTATGTGGTTTAGGTGTATATAGAACTGATGGAAGTAAAAGTAAGTTTATATAAAATGATGGTGTCTTTAGAGTCTTCTCAGTGTCGTTCTAGAGAAGTTAAAAAAAGCATTGATTATGTTGTTGTATTTTAGCGCCCTTCGTAATCGTCACGTTATTTAATTTACATGTAATGCAACTCTATATATTTTTCAATTATAAATGTTCTTTGTAATGATTGATTTGTTCTAAGCCTATTAGAAATAAAATCCTTTGATTACTTACTTGTAAAGTGTAATAGTGATTTATATATAATACGTACATATGTATATACTATATAAAAAGGATAATATTCAAATATTCAATCGGATTTTATTAAAATCTGTATTTGTTGTAAGTAGAACTTAAAACTTGTTTATTATTGATTTTATGTGTGTATACTTGTTAATAACTGTAATTTTAAACATCTATAGAATTATGCACTTTGTATTTATGGTATTATTTAATTTAACCTTTCAATTGTGGTGATTAGAGGCACAATTGAAGAAAAATAGGTGTGTGAATCCGGCATTTGTTTGTGGTTTGATAAATTACTTGTAATGTGTTTGAATGCTAAATGTAAAATCATCAATAATTTCAGAAATAATCATAATGCAGTTACTCAATATCAACATTATTATTATTCTAGTATTTTTATTGATTTTGATTTAAATATAAAAATATAATTTTCATAAGATTAGAATTAAGTATTTACATATAAATCAAGTAAATGTTTCTCAATAAATGGTTTGTCACTATTTAGAACAACAATTTAAAGTATATACTATACTGCACAATGAAAAAAATTTAATACTTACTTATCTATTTTTGAAATAGGTCATAAAACATGACAACAACAATTTTTTACTATATCCATGTCTAAATAATATTTTTTTATAATCTAGACTAGGCCTGATAATTTGCCATGAAATATGAGCTACATTTGGTGTATCATCTACTAGCATGAAGTTGGTGAAACAGATCCTAAATCATTAAAGAATTCAAAATGAAAACATCAGATTCTACACTGTATACAGTGTCTAGACTGTAATTTAAATAAAAAATACTGTTCTTTAGTTTCACCGAAAAAGGGTAATTTATTATTGTATTTATACTTTTTATCCCACCTGCATTCCTATCTTGATGATGGCACCTCTAAAACCTTATACTCCACATATAGGTGTGGGTCATAATAATATTTAAACATTTCTAATTGAATATAAAAATATAGTTGTAATAAGAAATAATTATTGCAATAATTGCCAACTGTCATACAGACCAACATCAAGGTTTTGGTAAATCAGGCATGCTGTTATAGCAGCGGTACGCGTAAGACGCCATGACGTCCTCACCTTCCGCCTGACGCAGGTGCTTACCGGGCACGGCAGCTTCGGTAGGTTCCTGTTTGGGATCTGGCGGGAGGAAAACCCGCATGTCGTCATTGTAAGGAATACCCTAAGGATACGATGGAGCATAGGGTGGCAGTGTGCCCTGCTTGGGCTTAGCACCGCCGTGTCCTCCGAAAAGTGATCGGCGGCGGCGACCTCTCGCGCCCGGCTTAGTCCAGGCCACCAGGGTTTGTAGCGAGAGGAACTGGGAAGCCGTCTCCTCTTTCTGCGAAGCAGTGATGCTCGCAAAGGAGGAGGCGGAGCGGCGTGAGGTAACTATCCTCTTCACGACTCAGCCGCCGCAGTAAGCGACATTACCGCAGTAGACCCAGACCAGAGCTTATAATAGACTACCACAGATGGGGCTCTATAGGGCTGATATTCAACCAGGGTTGCGAGTTAATCGCAATGAGTCACCGCGTCCTCGGCCCAGAGCAGCAGAAGGAACGGGGGTTTTCAGTCAGTAAGACTCTGCCACTCTCTTGCCTTAACCTGGACAGGAGAAGTCATTTGATGAGTTTTCCCTGACAAAAATAAAGGATTGGGTAACTGGGTTTCGATGTTAACCTTTGGTGTTTGGTATAACAAAACTAAAAAATCTCATATTATTATTGAAAGAAATAGGCACATATTTTATGTATTACTAGTTGATCCCTAGGAATGTAATTATTACACCTAATGTTATAGTAGAAGTGCAGTATTTAATACTACTGACTTGAGATTACTTAAAAATAAAATTTCTATAAATGTATTATACTTACACTTTTATAATAATTGCCTTTAAATAAATTGATACCTATGTGTATTTGAAATTTTAGAGCTGTATATCTAAACTTAATACAAACTAATAGAAATTTACCAGAACATTATACATATTTAATAATGACTATTATTAAATTTGTACAATTTTCTTGATACATAAGTATTCATTTTGCTTGTAATTAATTGCAAAAGTTACTTGGTAAATATGGTTACATTTTACACAATGGTTATTAATACAAATGACGAAAAATATAATAATAATATCTTAAAATTGGTAAAAAAAAATATAATTTTATATTTCACTAATTTGTTTGGTTTTCTTATTTTACATATTATTATCATCAGTCTTTGATTGACTTTGGTTTATGTTTTTTAGTTTGAAGAATGGAATACTATTCAAGTCAAGTTAGAAGATTGCTGCGTAACTGAACGGGAGAAGTTGTACCGCTATATGTTTTTAGTAATGTCATAAGCGTATAGCTTTTCCCCTTGGTTATGCAAGCCAGTAACATCATAAGGAAGATATGAAGAAATTGAAATTTGAAGATTTTTTTTTAATGGAATCAAAATTATAACACAGAAGGAAATCTATGTATACTTTGTTTATCTTTCACAAACTACTTATTAAGTAACTGTAACAAACTGTACAGTAACTGCTTAATCTTTGTTTTGAATGTTGGACAAACTTTTAAAAGGAATGGATCATTTTTCAACAGTTAAATCCTGTGATTTAAACATCGATCACTAATAAAGAACTAGATACACAATCCCATACAAAAGTTCGCTTCAAAACTGTCGCCAACTGTATTTAGGTACTTATACTTGAAATAAAAATGCATTAATGTAAATTAAACCTTAAATGCAACTCATAGAGTTGTTTTTACAAAGTGATGTACAAAATCTTAATACTTTTGCGACCGAAGCTCTTGACAAACACAAATCATAAGAAATTGAACCATATTCGCATGTTTTTAAGTCGAATTTACAAAGTGTCAAAAATAAGCAATAAAATTTAACGACTTCGGCTCACCGCTAGGACAAAGAATGATTGGAGTCGAAATGTCTCGTAAGAAATATATTTCTTTCGTATTTTATAATTTATCAAAAAAAGAAAATCGCAAATTAAAACGCATTACTTATAGTATTCTTTTCTATAGGTTTGTTCATTTGTTTACCAATGAAACTAATGCATATAGTTATAATTCTTTTTTTTTATTTTCGTCCTCCTTAATCCTTTCTATTCGAAGTCAAATAAAAAAGATGTAAAATAATAAAAAGAATATATATCTAAAGTAAGTACTGAAAATGTTGGCGTTATTGTTGTCAATTTTTCATATCGAACGGGTCTTGATGAAAGCTAAAAAAAAAATTTCTTTACTGCAGTTAAAATTAAATCCATTACACCTGCCTATTCCATATTTTAATAAACACAGTAAAGAAGTATAATATTAAATAAAAACTATTTTTTAATAAAAAAAACAATAAATAAAATTAGAAAC